GAACTGTTTCTGTTTCTGTTTTAAATCTATCAGTTGAACTTAATGATTAAGCCTATAGTAGACCTTCAGTTTGATAAGGTGAGTTTCAATCCAAAGGTCCAACCTAGGTCAATGGCATGCATTCAAGGTATAATTCAGGGAGTGGAGAAAACTAGGCACTAAGTTATCTAAAAATTCACAAATTAAAAATAGCAGCTAATATTTATTGAGTGCTTATAGTGTCCTATATGTCATCTTAAACTTATAAATGTAGTAACTCATTTAATCATTTAATGACCATCCTGGATGGTAGGTTTATTATGATTCCCGTAAATAGCAAAACTGAGGCACAGAAATGTTGAGTAACTTGCTCAAGTTTACGCACTTAGTAAGTGGTAGCATTGGCATTTCAACAAGGCAGTCTGGCTCCAGAGGTGAGGTTTTCCCCCCTATTCGTGTACATCTTTCCCCTGACTTTCACGTGCACACTCCTAATCACCATATTCTATACTAGATGTTCTACAATAAAATATGTTATCAAAAGTTCTATGGATGGTGGTTGTATTCAGTATTTTAAGTAAAAATATCTAATACCTGGAAATCAAGGGAATATCCATTAAGTCAATCCACTTGTCTTAAATTTCTTAATTTAAGAAAGTGACTTTGAAAATAGGATCAGCAATTTAAACTTCACTAATACTAATGTTAAAATAACTCATGCTCCTCAGCCAAATTACATAACGAAACTTATTCCCCCCAAAACAAATCCTTTTCCTTCCACAGTAATTGTTTTCTTGATTTAGAGAGTGGTTATATGAGGAAGCAAGAAGGGAGACTGGTAAGAGAGCAGAAGAGAGATTTACAACAGCAGGATTAAGACTAAATAACACTACAGCTGTCCACTTCTCTGGACCTTTTTTTGAACCCCAAAATGCAACCTGTCCTCCAGGAACAGTCCCATGAGTTTGATTTATTAACAAGTTTGTCTCTTGAATAAGTACTTTAATTGGATAAAACGAAAGTCAAGCACCTGTGTACCAGTTATTTTCTGAGAGTCAATAAACTCTCCTTGACCTTTCTCCACAACCCATATTTTCTACTGTGCAAGAATTGAAATGCTATGAAGTTTGACCTTGGAGCTTGAAAATATTGCAAGCTGCTAAAGTCTTTTCTTGGCCTGAGGCCTAAGTGAGCCCTATGATGTGAAATGAAGGTCAGAGTATCTGGGAAGAATAGGAAAGGCACTCAATCTCGCAGAGAGGAGGAAGTTTTATAATCTAGAAGAGACATACAATATGGTTCAATAAGGCATAATCATCAGTGCTATGTAATGAGGTTAAGATATTCTCCCTAAGAGTTAAGAAGACATCCCCTATTATTACAATTATGGACATCTGTCTATGTTTAAATCAGGCCTTGTTCAAGTTGAAAAATGTCAAGGGAAAGATCTATAATAAAACTTAATTATGTTTTATTTTACTTTCATCAAGTATGATTGGACCAAAAAGCCACACTACTTCTTTTATTACAAGGTTCTTGCTATTGGGAGCAAAATCCCAAAAGAGATAGAATGCCTTATGCTGTCCATTCTGAAAACACATCAGATGAAGCACATATTACTTGATATTCTACAGAGAAGGCCTAATGTGAAAAGGCTAGAGGTCTGGCAAAACTTCAATTTACTTCAACATAAAAGCATCCTACAAGATTGTTGATCATACAGCTAAACGGAAGAGATCATACACAACAGGAGAGATCCTAATGAAGCCAAAGTTCTGTAAGTGGTCAGAGTGTTGCATGGCCTAGAGAAGAGGAAGAAAACTAAAACGGTGTCTGTCTTAACTGATGTAAACAAAACCATAATAACATTCATTATTTATTTATTTCTTGAATATAGCTATTTGACAACTTTAAGTCCAGTTTCTGGTTTTCACATGATTCTTTCATTTACTCATCAGCTATGTACTAGCAACTATATTCCAGGTACCCTTATAGGTGTAGGAAATGTAGATTATAAGTCAGGGCCCTGGTTTCTTGGAGCTTTCATTCTAGGAGTTAAGACACAGACAGCAAACAAATAAGAAATTATCAGGTGATAAAAGCCATGAACAAAATACATGTGAAAGAGAGCAAATACAATGATAACCTTAGACTGAGTAGAGAGAAAAGGTCTCTTTGAGGTAGTGACATTGAAACTAAGACCTAAATCATCAAAGTAGGCAGCTGTGTGAAACTCTGGATGAAGTGTTCCAGCAAACATCATAGAAGAACTTCGAGTCTTGAGCTCCTTTCTGGAATTGCAAGTCATTAATAGTTTTGAAAAATTTCTTCACCAAACAAAACGTCAAAAGCCTAGAACATCTTATTTCTGAAAGCCTAGATGGAAAAAGTGTTACACTTGATATTACATCTGATTGTGATGCTTTGATGGGAAAAAAAAGTCATTATTATTTAATGTTTTAATCATCAGCACATAAAAATGCCAAAGACTATTCTAGCAAATCTGAAAGAAGTCTTGTCTACTTCCATGAAATACTGTCAACTTCATCTGTACTGGAGCTTTATGATGGCCTTTTACAAGAGGACTTATTAAGCAATAGGAACAGAATTTTAAAAATTTCTATACTACACAGAAGATCATTGGCATTCTAGAGGCACTAGTTTTATATTTAAACCAATGATTTGTTTTTTAAAATGAATCATTACATTTAGCAATTAGATAAGCTTGTTTGATGGCCATTAGATGTTGGGGCTTATGTGAATGTGAGAAATATTTTCATTAAAGGCAGTCACCAGGATGAATGCTGTTAGAAAATGGGCAATGCTCCAGGCAATGCAATCTGAATGTAATCTCTTTGGTGGTTCTAGACTAGAAGATCAGCAGCAGACAATCATAGAACTTTGCAAAGCTGAAGTAGGTGCTTTGGGAAAACCTGGAAGAATGTGGCAAAGCTATGGCAGTTACTCCACAGCCAAAAATCTATAAACACCATCTGAAGACTCAGAAAACCTTAAAGGTGAGGCATACTAATCTATACTCTATAAGTAGCATTAATAATGGAGAACTTATTGACTTGAAGACAAACACCAGACTTACTAAAGTGCCTAACTTTGCCTAGAAAACATTCTACTAGTTACTGCATATTTTTGTGAATTAGCGTTTTTAGTCATAGTTGCCTAAAGAAAAATAAATAAAACCCCACAGATGAATTAATTGATTGGGTTACCATTATCTTCCCTCTAGGAAGACAGAATAGTGTGAGAGTGAAGAGCATAGATACTAAAGTCAAAATAATCTAGATTCAAATCCAGACCCAACACTTCCTAGCTACATAAACTTGAATACATTCTTGGAGACTGATTTTCCCCATATGTAACATGGATATAATAATAACTGTCTCAAAGTTAGTTGTCAGGATTAAATGAGATAAGCATAATACATAAACTTGTCAAGGCACTATGTTGTACACCAAAAACTAAGGTAATATTGGGTGTCAACTACAATCAAATAAAACATTTTTTAAGAAAACTTCAGACCAAGGGCACATTTGTGTTTTTTGAGGAGGTGATATGCTTTTTACTGTCAAACAAGGTTTTTGTGTTGCTTATTATGCTTTGCGGTCTTGGTCCTCAGGAAGCTCAGGGATATGTCTCAGTGATGTGTTTTGTATTTGTTTTTAGCAACTTTCGCTGTTTTCTTCCTTATAATGTTTTATATTTTGGTTCTTGTTTTAATGGTTCTACTGTACCTGTGTCCTTTATAAGTCACCAAAAAATTCCCTTTAAAAGTAAATGTCATATAAAGGAAAGAAGGAAAGGAAGGAGAGAGGGAGGAAAAAAAGATTTCTTAAAATCAGAGGACAAACCACCCCACCTTCTGTTCTCTCGACTAGATTTATTCTTATTTACTCAACTTTATTAGAGTCGTTCTTTGTTTATTGCAAAGGGAGTGCCTGAAACACCCAGCTTTGAATCCCTTCATGGAGAAGCTCTGCAGAGAAGCAGCACTGGGATTATAGAAAGTCTTTGCTGTGAGTTACTGGGGTTTTCGTCTAACATCATCATTTTATACCCCATGGCTCCCCCTCCCACCTTCCAGTGTCAGCTCCAGCACACAGCAAGTTACTAACAGATACTTGTTGAATAACCAGAAAAATCATTTTCTTTCTTTCTTTCTTTCTTTCTTTCTTTCTTTCTTTCTTTCTTTCTTTCTTTCTTTCCTTCCTTCCTTCCTTCCTTCCTTCCTTCCTTCTTTCTTTCTTTCTTTTTTCTTTCTAGTGTTTATATACTGATTTTGAGAGAGAGAGAGAGAGAATGTGAGCATGGGAGACACAGAGTGAAAGGGAGAGAGGGAATCCCAAGCAGGCTCCACACTGTCAGCACAGAGCCCTACATGGGACTCAAACTCACAGACCACAGTACGAGATCATAACCTGAACCGAAATCAAGAATCTTAACTGACTGAGTCACCTAGGCACCCCAGAAAAATCGTTTTCTAAGTAATCTTAATTTCTGAGTAGTTTTTTACACTCAGAGTGTGAGAACTTTATGCACAAACCCCAAGATTTTACTTACCATCCTAGTGAGCACATTCCTAAACTTTCTTCTTAAAGTAAAATTCCATTCTGGGCAATTTGATTATGTGTGAATGTCTCTGTGTGTGTCCATAATTATTTCTCTTCTTGAATTTGGCTAAGCAAACCCAAACATGTGGTATGATTTTGATTACTTTGTTTTCCAGTCAGGAGTTAAAAGAGCAAGAAGAGACTAATTCAACTATTTAATTCATCATCCCGCCCACTTACACACACATATTCATATCCATGTATGTACAGCCATATGCTAGCCATGAATGGACCCTTGCCTCTTGTATGTTATAAATGACACCTTGGTGGGCAGCCCTACCCCAGACATGGCTATTCCCAGTACTGGTGTGTCAGAGGCTCAGTACTTTTGCTTAATTTGAGTTCAACATAGCAATTAAAGATAAACATAACATAGTTAAACATAAATGATATTACCTGTCTGGATCTTAATCACAGTCCTCCAGATGCCCAGTCCCAAAACGATGGCCATCAGCAGTCCACACACAATGGCCACCAGCACCCTGAGGTCATACACACGGCAGGAAGCCATGGGGAAGTCAGACCACTCCTGGGTGAAAAACAGCTAGCTTCTTTCTTCTTGGGCCAAGAAGCTGAATTGGAAACTTTTCTTAAAAACTTTTTTAAAAATCCTCCTTTCTGTGATCTATCAGGCAGAAGTCTTCATTTTGGGGGACTTTTGAGGATAATCAGGCAGGATGCAGTTTGAATCACCTAATAAAAGGTACTTGCTCTGATTGCAACTTCCTCTTCCTTCACTGAATGAAAACATGAAACAAGTGATTGGAATTATGGGAAGAGAAGATAACTCAGGATAATAAAGAAGAAAGGGAGGGAATAGTTAACAGGGTCAAAGTATACATGCAAGCAAGAAGGTGGGGAAGGGAGCCAGTAAAAAGAAAAACAAGTCATCTTCCTGCACTTTGGTTTTACAAGTATCTAGAAAAGGAAGACTAAAAAGAGCTTCAGGCCTCACAGACTCTCTTGTCAACAAGTGGTTTAAGCAATGATACAAACATGATTCCAATATTTGCCATTTTTTCTTAAAATTTAAAAAATTTTTCTTTTACAAATAGTTTATTGTCAAGTTGGTTTCCATATAACACCCAGTGCTCATCCCCACAAGTGCCCTCCTCCATGCCCATCTCCCCCCTCACCCCCAACACCCATCAGTCCTCAGTTTGTTCTCAGTATTCAAGAGGCTTTCATGGTTTACCTCCCTCCCTCTCCCCCACTATTTCCCCCATCTTCTCCCCCACGGTCCTCCATTAAGTTCCTTCTATTCCTCCTATACGTGCAAACATATGGTATTTGTCCTTCTCTACCTGACTTATTTCGCTCAGCATAACACCCTCAAGTTCCATCCATGTTGCTACACAAGGCAAGATTTCATTCTTTCTCATTGCCATGTAGTATGTCATTGTATAGATAAACCACATCATCTTGATCCACTCATCCGTTGATGGACACTTAGGCTCTTTCCATGTTTTGGCTATTGTTGAGAGTGCTGCTATGAACATTGGGGTACATGTGCCCCTATGCATCAGCACTCCTGTATCCCTTGGGTAAATTCCTAGCA